AGGAGAATGTCATTAATTATGTCTTCGTTGCATGTGTGGATGGTTCTGTTAAATCACGAAAAACGCCGGTTCTTGACTTCTTCAGACAGTACTCTCAGGCCAGTCATTTCCAGTAGCATTGGATAAAAATCTATCACTTGAATATTTACAAATGACAATTTCTTCTATGGCTAGAATAAAGATCAGCCGAAATTTGCAGCCTTCAACAGTCGGTATTGAACCTCACCAATGACCTTATGCTTTTATCAGTAAAGGTAAGCCATTCAATGTTATGTTAATATTTGTGACCGTTGTCATGCTGAGTCTTGACGATTTGCCAGCTCGTACTTGTCATGTCCGACATGCAGCAGCGAAATTTATCCTTTGCTCCTCTACATCGTATCGAAATGGTTTTGACTTTGCAGGTCCTTTGTGTGGGCTAATCAATATTTTCGACATTTCTTACCCACAGTTCTGATTCATGACATGATCCGTTGCCTTAGTGAGAAGAGAGTCCAAGGATGGAGTAATTCGATCGTGCGTTGGTGGTCATACTGAAAAAGTATCGTATATCACTGTTTACCTGTACACAGCGCCAAAGGTATTTTTGCCAGTCCGGTGTCTAACAAGACCCGTTCAAATGTTTGCTTCCATCCTAAAGTTTTCTGATAAAAGCAAGTGAATGCGGGTGAATTTCATTACTGGCAGATGAAGGCTGAAAATTCCAACTGAAACTTGGTTCCGTTTATGCGAAAAATTGCGTGTGCAAACAATTAAGGTAAAAGACTTTTATCGGTTCTGATTCATGTATCCAATGCTGTTAAGTTATTTTGAACTGTTAAGCCATCTCCAAGATCTTTCCATTCTTAATCCAATAATTGCATGAATATTAACATGGTCAGTCTATCAATTCCAAAAGTTGCCTATTTTTTTCGAATCGTGGAAATAACCGCTTCAGACTGTGCCTCCGGTATGTTCTAATGACGGTGAAGATTGTAATTTTGTGTTGAAATTTGAAGTCAACTCAAAGTAATTATCCATTTTCCAGGCATCAATTTTAAATATTTGAGTTGTAGATAAAAAGCATTTATATGCAAGAAGCTGAAATGGCCTTTCTGAGAAGAGTCACTGGTCTCGACATATTCGGGAATGCAGACATTTGCGAAAGCCTCGGTGTACAGCCACTACTTCTTCAGGTTGAGAAGTCACAGTTGCGATGGTTGTGCATATGTTGCAAATGCCTCGAGAACGGAAGACAACGCGACTACTTTTTGCGCATCTGAACGGCAGAAGACTTAGCAGAAGGCCAAGATTAATCTGGTGA